AGGTTAGGGACAGGTTTGGTGGTATGGGTAGGTTTAAGGGTGGGTAAAGGTGTAAGGGATGGGTCAATAGTGTAATTATAAATGTAATTACTTAAATTAATTACAGATTACATGCAGGTATATTTTAAAAATATATATACAATGTAAAAACATGTATGTACACAATAAGTGCATTGTACCAAATGATTAATTTAAATGTAAGTACATAGTAGTTAAGGTCATTTAATATAAAGTGGGACCGCTGTTTTTATAATCGGATATTAATTGGAAGATTAGATGGTCGTGCTCTTCCCGAAATTATGTTAATAACTTCACTGTGTTGAGAAGTACTAAAGAAATAAAAACAGCAGCAGCCGCGTGTCTCTCTGATACTGTAAGAATTACGCTGACAAAACATGTTCTGCAGGAATGAGCCTCATGATGATTTCCCGGAGAGCTTTTACCTGACAGAGTGTTTAAATGAATGTGTGTGTGCGTGCGTGCGTGCGTGCGTGTGTGTGTTCATGCGTGTGTGCTGATGGCTCATGTGATTGTGAGAGTTTACTGTAATGAGTGTCATTTCTGCTGTAATGACAGAAAAGAGTCCCTAGTGTGAGTGTTGAGTCCAGTTCCAGCACTTAAACTCAGACATTTCATCTCACACACAAACACAGAGAGAGAGAGACACACACACACACACACACACACACACAGACACACACACACAACCATTCAGTTTATTGTTGTTTAAAGCATTAACGCCGTAACAGTACGAACTTGTAAAGCTGCTTTAAAATAATGTGTATTGTGAAAAGCACTTATACAAATAAATTTGGCTTGACTTGTTTAATACTATTTTCAGGATTTCTGCACATTTTATGAAGGTACATTTTAGACTTTTTAAGACCAAGTAAAGAAAATTTAAGAAATAAATTGATGGCCAAAATACAATTTCCAACACATATCCATTACTTTGATTCATTTTACAATACTTTAATTGCATTTTACATAAAAAAAAAAAACGTATGGCTTGAATAGCTCTTCTCCCAAGCAATACAATATGAAAAACTTTTACTGAATCTTTTGATCACAGTGCAAAAAAGTGATGATCTTTCTCAGTATTTTTGTCTTGTTTTCCCAGTGCAAATATCTAAAGATTCTTAAATCAAGATACATTTACTTGATAAGCAAAATGACAAGACAAAAAATCTTGTTTTCTGTGAAATTGATCAAAATTAAGCGAGTTAATGGTTAACAAAAGGAAAAACAAGATTTCATACCCTATTGACAGATATTTGTTCTTGTTTTAAGCATAAACTCAATTTAGTTTGATTTCTCAGAAAACAAGACTTCATATCTGCATTATGCATCTAAAGCAAATGTATATTGATTTAAAGATGTTTAGATATTTGTACTGGAAAAAACAAAAGTGAGGAAGATATTCTTTTTTTTTTTTTTTTGCAGTGCAAGCAACATTTAATGCAAAGATTTTATGAAGTTAAGACTTTCTAAAAGGCCTTTTTAGGCCCTTAATTTCTGGAAGGATGAATTAAGACATTTTAAGGCCTTTTCCCCAAAAACCTAATAAAATAAAATAAATATTTACCTTCTCCTTTTCTGTACCCACTAATTTTCTGTCATCTCTGTTTTTGAGTTTTCCTGGAGCCTCTGCTGTTGGGATGGACGAATGAAAGATGAAGAGTTTGCCACTGCATTCAGCTGCCTGATGACAGAAAAAATATATAATCATAAAACTGTCCGATGGTTTTATCTGACAAGTCTAGATATGTTAAGAGTATTTGATTTAAAATATTTGATGAAAAAGCAATGACCCAAAATTTAAGGTCACGGACTGAAAGTGTCATTAAACACTCCTTAAAGAGTCAAAGACAGAAGTTATGAAAGTCGTCCCAGGCCTGTGAATTCAAACAACGGCCCTAGAAACAACTGCATGTTTATCAAACAAAGCCTGCTTGCAGAATTAAAGTGCACTTTTGTTAAACGATGTTAACGAAGGGATGAGGCTAAAAATGCAAGTACGATTACAAAGGGACATTCCAGACAGACTGATGTCAGTGATTGGTAAATAGATTTGATTTTACCTTTAGTGCCTCCACACCAGCTTGGATGACCGGAGCGAAAACCGTCTCACTCTCGTTGGTGTCAGCAAACATGTCAGGGATCTGATCTAAAAGGCTAAAGATAATAATCCATAAAATCCTATTAACAACAAGAAGAGGCTATTGCCGTCTCATAAATCCAAGCCATGCTTTAGGATAATGAACAGTGGATTACAGAAGAGTATAAGGTTAGGAAGTAATTACTGTAATTCTACTCTGAGCATTTAACATCCTCTGAGAAATGATCCATTACTCATATATTTCTACAGAAACATTAGTGATGCATGCAAAATATTTTATCATTAATAATCCTTTTGCGAAATATTGTAACAAAATGTGATATATTGTAGATTTTTTTTTCTAAATATTGTAGAAAACATGTATTTATGTATGGTGTGTGTGTGTGTGTGTGTGTGTGTGTATATATTCACAATATCTATACTCAGAAATGTATGAAATCTCTTGATTTATGAGAAATCAGAGATTTCATAAAGTTCTGAGTATAGATTAACTGATATTGTGAATGTGAATTTAATACCAATATCAATTACCTTCATAATTAATTATTAAATAATTATTTATATCATTTAATCCATTACTTATTAATGATGTTATAATTAACAAATTATTAATGCGTCAATTATGCATTCTTAAAGATCAAACAGTACAACATGTCAGCAACACCAAGGTCATGGGTTTGATTCCCATGGAATGCATGAACTTATAACATACATTTTTATATGCAGTAATTTTATATAAGAGCATTTGCCAAATGCATAAATGTTTAAGAATCCAATAACCAATATGCAGATATATTGCTTTAATAAAACAACATATGCATTACATATTGCATATTTATTTGCATATTATTTTATACATTGTCTTGTACTCTGCTGTATATTCTTTATATTTTAATGTCTTTGTAACATATTGTCTGTTCCGTCTTTCTTGTGAGGAGATAACAAAATAAGAATTTAATTGTACCTAGTAAATATGACTATAAATATCTCCCTATTTATTAAAACACTGCAATATTCCTTAATAATATGAATTGTCCATTTTGATTTCATGGTGACTTTAATACTAATACATAAATGCTGTATATGACTCAATGTAATACGCCTAGAAGTGTCTTATAAATGAAACTACAGAATAGTTTCACTTATGACTGCAGACAGAAATGAACCTACTTGTTGACGACAGCTCGAGACTCCTGGAAGTTGACGAGGAATCCGTCGAGAAGCGGTACAAACATCTCCGCCACATCAGAGACCACCATCATCTGCGGCTGGGCCAGAGCGCTCTTCACATTATAGAAGTGCAGGATCTTATTATAAGTGACAAAACCCACTTTGATGGGCGAAGTCTCGGCTCCCTCCTCTCTTCAAAAGACAAAGAACATAAGAAAATTGAGCAGGAACACCAAAAAGGTAATAATAAAAAAAAAGTATTGAGTATGCATGCTTTGCATACTTTATGCATGCAGATAAAGTTGAACATACTTAGATAACTTTATATAAAGCGCTGGGTGATAATATAGTTCACATTTTATGACAAAAGTAATGAGATTTGCTGTAAAATATATATTGCTTTACGTGAGTATACTGCATGTAGATAATCAAATTACTTTAACTAGACATATTCCACTAACGTTTGACAACAAGAAAGTGTGCAAATACTTTCTTTTAAGCAGTATTTATTCTATAATAAAAAAATTTTTTTTAATAATTTAGAAAAAATTGCAATGCATTAGAAAAAACTAGCGATGATAGAATGATAATGATTCCTATAACAATAAATATATTTTGAATAAGCTTTTATTTTTATATTTTGTTTTCGTTTTAAATTTTAATTTATTTTATGTGCTTTTCTCATTTTTATTAGTTTTTGTTTTTTAATACATTTGCTTAAAGGTCTGTTCATGAATGATACCTAAATATGTGATTCAAGAATGATAACTATAAAGATAACTATAACAATAACTATATTAGCATCCACACCAACAGATGATAATGTTCCGTTCATAATCGGCGCGCACCACAGTTTTGTTGTCGGCTATTTTAAATGCTCAAGCTCTTTAAAGAAGGATGGATTATGATTGGCTTTCAATGTTTTTATTATTCATCAGCTTGAAAAAAATTAATAGTTCTGAAGGCGATTACAATGATATCGATCCTTTGTGCAGTTATCGTTATAGCTGTGGTGTGGAGTTTTTTTTCAACTATATATTTATATTTATCATCCTATGTGTGAATAGACATTAAGTGTCCAAATACTATTTTATCTGCTTATACCGTATATTACTTTGGTGGGAAACATTGACTGTACAGAGCTAACAGAGATAATTCCTAGCGCTTAAAATGAAAATCTCAGGTGTTCAGTATTCCATCAGTTTAAAGAAATGTGCACATTTCACCATCGAACATCTACCAGAGCACTGTGTAGTAGCTGATAGCGCAGAGCTGCGTCAGCCAGTAAATACAAGCATTCCAGATTGACGCCTGTATCTGGGCTTTGTAGCTTTCTAAGGTTACATTTGTAAGATTGTAAAACATGGTGATGGTTTGGATCACTCACAGTCTATATATGCCAAGTCTCTCATTAAGCTAGAGACACACTCTCCAATACAAATCCTATCAGGCACTAACAGACCCCATCGACTCAGGGTGTCCAATGTGGTTTTCATTAACTCTGTGCAATCTAGCAAGCAAAGCCAGGAACAGAGGAGAGAAATCAGATATAACACCACAGGCTTATTTGGAGTGCACTACCGGACTGCTTTCAGAGTGAGGTCAGATCCCAAACAAATAAACCCTTAGGAACCAGACAAGGAGAGGTAAGTAGTTTAGGAGGGTGAAAAAAAGTCCTCAGAGGTGAATCAAAAGCTCACCTCTCAGCTGGCAGTCACCCAAAGAAACGGTGTAATTGAAGCCATGTGTACCACCAAACATTTAAATACTTGGAACTGTTGCAGAACTATATAAAAATTGTCACAAAAAAAATTTAATTGCAAAAAAAATGTGATTACAAATTGTGAACAGTGATATTTGGTATTATTTTAGTATTTATTATTTCTATAATATTATAGATTTTATTAATATTTTCAATTAGCTTTTATTTTAACATTTTAGTCATTTTTATTATGTGCTCTTGTCATTTTTTTTAGATTTTTTTTTTTTTTTTTTACTTTAAAAAACCTTACTGAACCCAAGCTTTTAAATTGTGGTAAATGCATACATTACAGACATTTAGGTGAGTATACTCTTATAGCATTGTGTGCCCTGCACATTATGTAACAATAATAAGTCAACTTTAAAAGTCCAGTGTCATAGATATATTAAAAATTTGATACCAATAAAATGGCCTCAAAGTTCAAAGTGCTTGCGTTTATTTCTGTTCATCATTCAGTTACTTTAGTGATTATATAATTACATTACATTCATTTAAATATACTGTAGACATTCGGTTTGGTTTGGGGTCCTCAGATATATAAGTTTTCCTCAAACAGTCAAAGATTTTAAGAAACTGTTAAGAGCCTTCAACGTCCTTCCATAGAGTGATGCACTTTATTATTAAAGCTTCTCTGTTTCATACGCTGGGTTGATCATACCCTCATCCATACTCTCTTTAATTACACCAAGAAAGCCTTCATCCTTTGGATTGTTGTCAAAATGTCCTGTTTCTCCGCTCTTAGGCACTTTGGTTTTGGGATACCTGTAGCACATTAAGAGTAGTCCACTTACAATGAGCAGGCAACCTGAACCGATCCCAATCCCAATCCCTGGACCCACTTCCTGTTTCACTGGAGCAGAAGGCAAGTAGAAGTCAGGCGGGAAGTCTATAGTGAGATTCGCCAGTACAGAATTCATATTCCAAAAGACGGGGACCAACGAACACGCTGCAGTTAACCAGAACAAGGAACCCGCCATCACAAAGGTCAATCTGACATGCCTGTTGTTAACCCCAAAGATGGCATTCCTCACCACATGTCCCGCCACTAGGATTGCGAGCACCCCCACGCCAACAGCAACCATGCAAAGCACCTGGGCGGCTGCTATTTCTGGTGGAGTGAATGAATCTGTAAGGCTGATGCTTTTGCAGATCTCAGTCGAATCCAAAATGTGGCTGTTGAAACAGACCCGCCACACGCCCACCCAGGCCAATCCTCCCGTGATGACTGTCTGATTGTCCACGTACCAAATCCTCCAACTGTTGCAGAACTAGAGCCGCTGAACCTCCTGACTTCCTTCAGGCAGACATTTTCAAATGATGAGATATTGGAATTGTTTACCTCCCTAGTTTTTTTTGTTTTGTTTTTCTTGCTTGTTCTCCCGTTACCATATTTGGCAGGGGATCGGGGCTCTTTTTCAGCTGGGTTCGTTCACATTCCAGGCTGATAGTAGCTGAGATGAACATGTGTTCAACCTGAGAGGTGCGGACAGAAAACGGAGGGGTGGCTTCTGCCCAAGGCTTCAACTTTACTCCACAGACCCTCCCAGCCAAACACCTGGAGCTGGACGTCAGTGTGTGGGATGGGGGATGAAAGCAATCCTAAATATATCTGCAGTCCAACCCAGATCTTTAGTCTTAGCTGTCCAAACATTAAAATACTAACAGAATGATCTATTCCCTCTGCTAAATTTCAGTCCACCGGCCAGTATGTTTCAAATGTTTGCAATTTGCTGAAATGTTTTAAAATGCACTATATTTTACATTTTTATATAATTCATTTAGGTTTAACGTTTAGGTTTAATTTATTTTATTTCAGTTGTAGTTTTTATTTATTTCCAGTTTCCAGTTTCATTTTAGTGCTTCAAATTTTTTCAGTTATAATTTTCATTTGTTAGGTTTTTTTTTTCATCTAATATTTGTATTTAACATTATTTTAGTTTAATTTCAATGAACAAATTTTTCTAAAATAGCTTTAGTTTTAATTAACGATAACCCTGGTGGAAAAAACTTTAAAAGTAAAGAGACCAATAACAGCTTCAGTATATATTTTCTCTAAACATAGATTTTAGCAAAAAGGTCACACTTTACTTTAAGGTCCAATTCTCACTATTAACAAACCATTAACTACAACTTTTGCCTCAATAAACTCCTAATTAGCTGCTTATTAATAGTTAGTAAAGTA